GTTACGATGTCAACCGAAGGGAGAAAAACAGATTTAAACCAAAAAAGTCCTCTCCATGTCAAGATTAGTCAGTTTTGAAGACTGCGTGTGGACATCACTTGATGGAAGAAGAAAAATGTGTTATGGGAGTGTTGTTTTAAGCACTGTAGAAGGTGTGTGAATAAATGTATATACTAAAGTCAGAGCTTTAACTAATGGTGCACGTTTTGAGTTTATTTATAAAAACACCTGTCACTACAGAACATTTCAAGTGTTAAATACAATCTGTCAAGGAACTTCAGGATCCCCTACTTCTAGTCATCCATATCCAGACTTTCTTCATCTTTTCTCATGGATGTTTTTCTATTTAGAATAACTTTATAATATAAAAATGTATCTTTCCCATTATATTTGTCTGCTTTTCCTTAGGAATTAGGATCTTATACTTCTGTACTTTGAGGAAAACAGTATGTCTCTTATCATTCCCAGGTCCTGAATTTTAGCCTACAAGAAGGTTGAGGGTAAATAATATCATGCTTTGTGATTCTAATTTTTCTAATAATAAGAATTAGATGGAAATAATTAATATAAAGCAAAAAAAATACTGCCAAGTGAAAAAAATTTTAACAGCACTCATTAATTTTTTACACACTTGAATTGCTTTGGAAATGATGCAAGGTATGTTTTCTAAGTGTAGAATGAATTGACTTTCTGACCACTTACCAAAACTGTATTCAGTCCTGGGTAAAGTTAAGTAAGGAATTTTTCTCCTGTTTGTCAGTTCAAGCCTTCATGTATGTTCTTGTCTGGAGTAGGTGCCAAAAAGGGAATTATGTTTTCAGTGTCCTTTCTTCAGTTTTTCCACCTGTTCCTGTAGCTGGACTGACCTTCAAAGATGTCTTTGGTTTTTTACTACTTTTTTTTTACTGGAGAGAGAATTAAGTTTTTGGAGCTCAGCTGTCTGTTTTGACAGTAACTAGGCCAACCTTTATAAAATACTGCACCAAGTCAATGAATACTATTTAATAAAAGGCTGACTAATCATAAAAAAACATGTAACTTTTCAAGGCTTAGCCTGATTTCTTTAATAAGACTTTCGTCCATCCTCTCACACCTTCCTTACTTGTAGCTTCTTCCATCATAGGTCATCTTTGAAAAATACCAGTCTATGTAGCTTATTTGCCTACTTTTGTTGCAGCTAAGTAGCCTAGCTTAGAGGAAAACCCTGAAAAGAAACATAAGCTTGTCCTTAAGTTTGCCATCTTTGCTGGGGAAAGAAAAAAAAAAAAAAAAACCACCCTAAAAAAGCCCCAAAACAAACAAAAAACCCACAAAAACACCTCAACAAAACAAAAAACACCCAAAAAGCCTGCAGGAAATTTCCTTGTTTCTAAATTCTGAGTAATGCAGTTATGGAAATAAAGCTGTCATATTTGCTGTGTGATTGGCAGTAACGAAAGGGCAGCTTGACTGAAGATTTAATATCAAACAGTGTGTTCGGAGCTTTGCGGTTTCCTCTGTTCAAGGTGTTCAGGTTAAAAGATAAAACCTAGTACTGAAGGGATTTTTAAGTTACAAAATACAGAGGATCAGTGGAAAAGAAGATTTTTTTCAAGAGGTGAAATTTTGAGGTATTTACATCCATGTTGTCCAACGGTTTACATATTTTTAATTTTCACTGATATTTTTTCTTCACGGGCTGGGTCTTGAAGTTGTTTTCAGTTAGAATATCCTTTACTTAGTCAAATCCTTTTTCTTCTGTAGGCAGCTGTGAGAAATGAAGTACCTTTCAAGGGACATGTCTAATAACTGAAGTAGATAAAAATTTGCTTAACTATAGTGATTACCTCTTTGAGTTTCCTGCTTGTTGATTTATTTATTTTTAACCATGCAGTTAATGGCATATTATAGTCTACTTAATAGGCAAATGAATCTTCAGTTACTACTACTCCTCTTCACTCGATAGTCAGTTCAGTTGTAATCCTCACAGTGATGGTAGTATTTCTACATGTTGTAGAAATAACAAAACTGTTCTAATCTGGTAAAACTGTGATACCTGTTAAGATAATTTTCTTTCCTACTTTTGTGCATGTGGCAAATTGAGTCAGCCATTTTTTCTTGGATTACTTGCATTTTGTTAGGATGAACTAGTATAGCACAGCTAGTTTTTGCTGCCTTTTGTGTTATCACTGACAGATTCTTCTTCCTAGAGAAAGCTAGAAAAATCAGCTAAAGAAGTCTTTTTTTTATCTTTCTAGCCTGTTTTTGAGAAAGTGCGACTTAAGAGGTTCTGCCAGTTTTGTCAACTTCTCTTTTTCTCATTCCCATTAATATCAGAATGCAAGATAGTTCAACTGAAATTTGATGGGATTTGAAAGTCCCAGAATAATCAACCTTCAGTTATATTAATGGAAATTGACAACTGTATATAAAAAAGATACTCAAATTAGTGTTTCCACTGAGAGAGAGCAGAGAGAATTTAAGTTGTGTTCTCTTTCATAGCTGTTGGTTAACCAGTTTCTAGAGTCATCTAGATCCTGTAATCTCCTTTGACTTTTTTTTCCTCTCTTTTTTTTTTTTTCATTATTAACTTCTGAACACAGGAAATTCTTGAAATTGATAGGCTAAATTCAGACGCACATATTTGAGAGATGTTTCTAAACTCTTGGAAGACTATTATATCCAGTGTGCTTCAGTACCTTGAAAACCTATGCAGTGTTTCCAAAATACTCCTGTACATCTTTGCCTGTTAAAAGTAAGCTGTTCAGGAGTAGGTGGGGACAGATCTAAAAATAACGAAGGTCATTACATTTTAAAATCTGACAAAACAGTAACTTAAAGTTCATTTGTTTTGGGGAAACCTAACTTTTCTTTCTCAGAGTTTGGTCATGTAAACTTACAGACTTGCGTCTTGGTCTGTACATCTCCAGATGCCTCTGGCAGTTTATATCGACATTCTTTTGGGAAGTGGTGACTTAAATGTAGTCTGTCTTACAGTCCATTCTTCAAAGCAGTTACTGTTCCATAACATTTGCTAAGTAATATAATTACTTGGCTTTTGAAGCTTTAAAGAATTAGGTGGTCAGTCAACATTGGTAATTTTTATCTTTGCATAACTTTAATTTACTCTTGTTTAGATTTTCTTTACTGTCATTTTGGAGCTTGCAAAATTAAAATTAATTTCAGAGAACTGAACTATTCTTTCTGACCAAAACGGATATGTGGAAATTTCTGTTTCCTAAGTTGTAGTTGCTTTGTGTTACATCTGTATACTACACAAGTAAATTAGAACTATTAAAAGAACATTGAATGCTGGTTAGCAGGGGCGTCAACGGGCCATCTAGTTTAGCATGGGAAAGAATTGACTGTACTTTGCAGAATTTCTGAAATCAAAGTCTGCTCTTAAAACAAGGGGGAAAAGAGAACCCTCTGGAGATTCAGCAACCTTTATACCCTGAATCTTTCTCCTAATGCCTAACTTCAAACATTCTTTGTTCACGTTAATCCCATTCATATACTGCCTGCCCTGGATGCACAGAATGGATTATTCTCTTTGCAGCTATCTTTTAGGTATTCAAAATTAATACCTCTACCCTGAGGTTTCATTTCTTTTGAATAACTAGGCTTGTTGGTCTTCTAAAGTTTTACTTTCTAGACCACTGTTGGCTGCTGTTCTCTGGATTTTCACAAGTAGTCCGAGTAAATGGTGTTTTAGAATATGGTAACACGGAATGAAATTACCCTGATCTAGCCTAATGGTTTCTCTGGTTTTGTAGTATTTTGACTTAATCTTTCAAATTTTATGTAATCCAGCAATCTCCATTTATGGAATTAGTCTTGCTGTTTCTAAGTCAGTTTCTAAAGACTTTTTAGTCTAATTTTTACAGCAAATAAATTGTTTTAGTGATGTAGGAAGCAAATCTGGGCTTTGTTCTTTATTTTCTTTGCGTGATCCTGGAGTGAGTTGTTTTCTACTTTGAGTTTCAACAGGGGCGGGTCAGTTGATCTTATGAATTCTTATTCTGTTGGCTGGTCTGTTTCTGGATTTTTAAGTAATGGACTTGTCTAAACTACTGAAGCCAAGAAACAAAAATTCAATTTTTGCATTAGTTAGATCTGTCTGAAAAGGCAGAAAAAACTTAAGATTTATTGGCATCTTTTGCTTCACAATCTACTTCTGCCATTTTCGGCCCTCTTGTCTCCACTTTTATGCACTTTCTTACAAAGTTAGGCTATATTTCTAAGCATGGACATGCTGTATGTTTGTGTAAATGCATGTGCTAAGCACTCTTTCAAATTACATCTGTACATATCCTACTTGATTTCATGTATAAGCTCATTGATGCATCAGAATATTCAAAGTCCAGTGCCATTCTCATGCATGGAAAAGTCTTGATTCAAATAACAAAGCAACTCCCAGCACTTATGATGTCACACACTTTGAAATGAGAAACAAACCAGAAAAAAAAAAGTATAAGCAAAGCATAACTAAGTATATCATCTTTATCTTTTCCTATATATGTATATATTTTATTGTTAGGAAGAATAGTGATGTTGTTGTTACCTTAGAAACCAGAATGCCATGGACAATTGCCAAGTCATGTTAAGTTTTGTTTTGAGTATTTGATCTTTTGCTCAAGTTAAAGCAATAGAATGCAGAATAAACTGCAGAAGATGGTAAAATTCAAGGCTTAAATTAGTCTGAAGTTTATGTAAAGATCAGATACTTCAGACTATTTTAGAATAAAGCATTTTGAGAAGTTTAAATAGGAAGATGTTTTTTTAAGGCACATAGTATATTGATTTTATTTAAAAGTGTATTGTCTCCCAAATTTTGCTTAGAAGCCAGATATATGTGCAAAAAGTTAAGTTAGTTATAAAACTGATTGATAACTAATTTCTTAATGGAAATTTGCTAAGTGTATGTTTTCTCTCATCACCAACAGATAGATAGTAAGGGCAGCAGCAGCAGCAAGCTAGCTTGATGAATGAGGGTAATTCAGTTTCTTTGTATTGTACAGCTTGAGAAATGCCAGTGGCCTGACAGCAGCAGACCTTGCACATACCCAGGGCTTCCAAGAATGTGCCCAGTTTCTCTTGAACCTCCAGAACTGTCACCTGAATCGTTTCTATAGCAATGGCACCTTAAATGGGGTTCATCAGAATGCAGGTCCCAATCCATTCAGTGGTGGGACAAGTCGAAAGAGATCCTTTGAAGATATGGAGTCTGCTGGAGTAAAGAAGGCTAGAACGGAAGGTGAGACCCCAGAGGTAAAAGGGATGGGGTGATACTGTTGCTGAGAAAGGAAAATAAACATTTTTAAAGCCTTTTAGAGTGGATGTTGACTATTATTGACAAACTCACGTACACATTTAAATTACATATCAATACAAGAAGCAGATGAATACAGTTATTCCATGCCAGAAGATCCCAGTTCTCCCTGTCGTCATCTTGGTGTGTTCAGAAATTTCTATTTCCAGAGAGTGCTAAACTTACATGATGCCAAGAATAATATGTGGAGGAGTAGGACCTGAAATTAGCTTCTACTCCATTCTCAATTTCTTTTCCTTCAGGAGAGCCAAATAATGCTGCGTTAATTCACAAAGATGCTTAGATGTTCAGATGGTAATTTTCAACTTCGGGATTAATTCACAATTCAAAAACTGTTTGCTAGATAGGATGGTTGAAAGAAATGTAATGCAAACAAGGTTTCTCAAATCAAGAGGGATTATGTTAAATTTCCAGGATCATGTTCCAAGGAGAACTGATAGCTTACAGGAATATGTAAGTCTAGAATGAACCTTAAGAATGCCTATTCAGCTTCGTGCATTGAGGCTACTGCTTCTTCGTCTGCCAGCAGTGATGTGATAGTACAACCTGGAAGATATTTTTTGGTGACTCTATGAAGAAACCTTGAATAACACAATAGAGCATGTCTTCTTCCTATCTGCTGGTCATCCCATTTAAATTGTTATTAAAAAGAATGCAGCATTCTGCACTCAAACCTCATTTCTTTTTCTGGTGTCTCGTATCAGGCAAAGGACTCTGTAGGTCTTCATTGAAGACTTTCTTCAGTTAAAGTTAATATTCTAACGGATATGTCTTTCAGTGAGCCAAATAAAATGGGGTCAAGCAGTGTTTAATTCCAGATAAGAGACCAAACCGTGAGGCCAAAACAGTTTCTAAATATGACATGGACAACATAAATTACATTAATATGGACACTCTAGTATTTCCTTTAGTACTTGGTATCCAGCCACCATTTCAACTATACCAGGATCAGAGGCCTTAAGAGTTTACTCCATAGCCAGTCATAAATAGGATATGTTACTTCAGGTAGTGGGTCTAAACTATAAATAATTTCATGATGGAGGAGAGTGCCTATACAATTAAATATAAGACTGCTTTTCAGGAATAACATCCTGAAGTAGCTACAGAGAATGAGAGGACTTGGGCAGTATGCAGATGCCCATAGAAGCTGCAGAAAGATGTCTTCAGTGCATTCATGTTCTGTTACGAGAAGGCACTGCTTGAAGTGAAAGATAAGTCTTTCGTGAGTTATTCCTTCTGAACGTTCTTAACCAGCAATCTCTTAGTTTCAGGAAATGGTTCAATCAGGTCAGTAGGTTGCATTTCCTCATAATCTGTGGGAGTGGCACTGGGCTAGCTATTTTTATTCTATATGTTGTCACGAAATAGCAGTATCTGCATTACATTTTAGCATAAACAGTTGGTCTAGTGGGTAAGTTAGATCTAAGCAGTTAAGAGATGTTGAAGAAGCAGAGTAGGTAATTTTGAAATTTTTACCAGTATGATTTAAGACTTTTGCAAACAAAGCCAAAAGCTTTGCTACATTTGCTTGGTGGTTTTTAGAGTAATTAAGAGATACATCCCAGCTGCATAAGTTGAAGTTTCTGATCTGACATGTCTGCCCTCTAAGACATCAGCATCAGTAATATCTATCATATCTGTAAAAAGTCTGTTGGAGTGAGAATGAATCACTGTTCTTGAGGCACTTTGTAAGCAACATAACTGAGTAATGAGAAGTCTCCAGTACATCCTTTGTGCTTAGCTAGCCTTTTTATAAAACAAGCACAACTTTGTGGTAATTTTGCCCTTACCAAAACCACACTGGTCTGTTGTCCTTTAAAGACTGCTTGTACAGGAGATTCTAGATGTCAGGGACTGCCAGCAACCTGTATTTGCAGGGATGAGTTAGGTTTTGATGGCCATACCTCAAATTAGAGCAATCACTGCTTTTAAAAAAACCTGCTTCTTGTGATCAGGCACAGTATATGCCCCTTATAAGAACCTGTAAGCAGTAGAAGTGAAAGAAGAGAAATACTTAAGCTATGCTTCGCCCTTTGTCCTGGAATAATTAAACAGGACAGTAGGTGGGGGTTACAGTTAATTTTGTTTATATGCACATATGTGTATCTGGTTTGGGGTGCATAGTATTAAACCTTCAGCCTCAAAATTAAGGAAAACTGATATATCATACACTGTGATACAAACTAATTGCCCTCAAATGCAATGCAAAAATGTGTTCCAAAGGCTTAACCTGAACTTAACAAAAGTAAATCAGCAGCCACTTTCAGAATATAAACCAAATAGTTTTTGACTTAGCAACATGAGCTGAACTTTATGTCCATTTTTCGAAATCCATTCCAGAAATTTCACCCTGCTTCCCAGGTTGGTTGGTAGAGGGTGGTGCACAGGGTCAAATATAATGATGATGATGCACACCACGTCAACTGGACACATGGGTTGGTTTGCAGCAGCCAGAATACTAGCCCTTCTGGTTCATGGTCCTTGGCAGCTTGGCTTTTGCACGGTGCCGTACAGGCTACACATGGTATTGCCTTGCTGTATACAACTGGTGGGTGATTATATCAGTATCACAAGCCTCAGGACAGCTGCTCTTAGATGTTCATTGTGAGGTGGGAATGGAGGGTGTTGCCAGGTGTACGCTCGAATTGGCCAGCATGAAAGTGCACTTCCATATTCCTCTAGGTAACTGGAAAAAATGCCTTTCCCTTCCTGGTTTAGGATAGTTTGAAACCTGCTGATCCAAGGACCCTGGTCTCCTTTAAGCCCTCTATGATCTCTTTTGGCCCTGAAACACTTTAGCTATTGCTTAAAGTTCTTTAAAAAACAAGTAGTTTACAAAAATTTTGGTTGTGCCCAAGGTAACGAGAGCTGACTTGCAGTCTACTAAAGTGGCCTTTTATATTATTAAAAGCGTGAGCAATGTATATGAGGAAGGTGTGTTAGTGAGAACAGTGCAGGGTTTGCTGGGATAGTATTGGAGCAGCACACACTGGAGCAGGAGGTGGTAGGTATAAGAGGTAGTGAAGTCAAGCCCATCTTGCTTACTAAAGCATTTCCCACAGCAGTCTAACCACTTGCCATCTTTTCTCAGAAGACAGATCTATTTGTTCAGCTCTTAAACGGATCCCTCGAGCAGCGTGGTATGAATAGGGAGTGGGTTGCTGGAAACTGGCCCTTGGGAGTGAAAGAGGGAGCAGTCCAGACTGACAGTAGACAAATGTGAGGTAGAGACCGTCTTTTTATCTGTTGGGCACACTAGCTGTAAAGCCTAAATATGAGTAACTTAAATTGCTCTTTATTCAATCTGTTAGTACATCAGACTAATAGTAGTTTGATACGTAGGTGCAAAGTCTGATAGATACACTGGTAATTCTTCATTTTGAGGGATTAAAATGAATGTGCAAGTACTTAGCATTAGCTTATTCTGCATTTGGAATCTCAAACATGTCAGAAGCAGATGTGAAAAAATTACATTTCACTGTAAAAAGCTTTTGCTTTAATAATCAAAGTACTCCTGTTTGTTGGCTGAGTTTTCAAGCGTGCACCAGTAACTAAATGTGACTCTTTTTTTATCAGCTTACAGCTTTGATGGCTTAATACCAATGATGAATGGAGGAGTTGAGGACGATGCTGACAATATGCACGTTGATAGAGAGTTTGCTGTTGTATCAGGTGGGAGTGGACAGTTTCCTGTTAACTACAACAACATTCAAATGGTTGAAGACACCAAACAACAGGAGAGTACTTCTGTTGGACCAAAAGAAATTGAAATATACACTGTTTCTGCAATGCAAACTCCTTGTCGTTGCAAGAATCAATATGCATTTTATTTTTAATTTAAGTATAAAACTTAGTCCTTATTTTTGCACATTGTTGTCTAGAGTCTTGAAAGCTATTGTATTGCTGTAACACCCATTATATTGGGGGTTTAGTAGGTATCTAAAATTAGCTGTTTCATGCAATATATTGTAATGGTGAAAGAGAAGATTTATTAGTAGTTTATTATTATTTCAGATAAACAGAAATCCATAATGGCTGTTTCACTTTTAACCTGAGGCTTGTATTACGCTGTGCCTTGCTTTTAGTTGCTATAATTTCAGGTAAAGGAAATTCAGAAATAAATTATTAATTTCATTTCCATTAAATAGATTTAATTGCTAATAAGAAGACCTGATAGGGAAACATATTGTAGTGCTTATATAGCTTTGAAAATTAATATACGTTACAATTAAACTATATTCAAAATAGTTCAACAAATACTATAAAGAATAGTCTAGACACATACCATGTGTTCAGAAGTTGTTCAGACACAGTGGTATAAGTGCAGGATACTGCTATGGGGTTTTCTTTATGTAAATGAAAGGCTGGACATCTCAGAGCTTGAACTAGTATTTGGAGCTAACATACATTGGGAGACAGTTTTTTGTGTTTTGTGCTGATCTTCACAAAACACTCAAAAAGTTACTAGTATTCATGAATATTAATGCTCAAGTTTTTTAAGGGCTGCTTAATCAAGATGCTTTTGGTGACCCCAAGATGTGTATAGAGTTTCAATCTTGAGTCAGATTTTTCCATGCAGTTCATAGGTACAGGCATGGAATTACTATGATAGTGCATTATGACGTTCAGAAATTAATTTCTTACTTTCATTTCTTCTGTGATAAATATATTTATGCTTTGTACCACAGATCAGATTCACCAAAGGGAATGATAATTAATAGATAATTTAATATATTAGGAATAAATACATATATAATCAGTACTTTAAAAGTAGACTGATATTTTCCAGTGATAATTACCAAGTGTTCTTATTTAGGAAAAAATTATTGTCTTTCATAAATATACTCTATTACTATAGGTGCTAATTTTTAACAAATAAAAACATTCTATAATTATCACTAGAACTATTCATTACCTACTTTTTCATTTAACTAACAGTAGTGCCATTTATATTAAATTTGATTTGGCAAAGTCAGCCTATAAGGATTTATTTTTAAACAGTTAAAATTTTGCACTTTTCAGTTAATAAACACTATATGAAATTCCTTCTGTGCGTTTTCATCACTCAAGTATTAGCTTTGATGTCTTGATGGGTTTGGGTTTTTTTTTATTCGGGTTTCCATAAGAATTTGTGGGTAGTGAACTCAGCTGGTGTGATTATGTAGGGACTAAACAGGAAACTCCAGTTAGTACATCCAGTGAGTAACAAATGGAACTCGTTTCTTGGCATTATGTATTGCTGTATGTGAGGTATCAGTATCGTCAACCGTATTTCAAATAATATTCATGTGAAAGACTAATAGAGAACCAAAACTTCAGATACTTCCTTGTCAAACAGTGGTACTCATTATGCATCACTTCAACAGGAACCCCATGTTTTACAAATGTGGGATGTTACCAACAGACTTACTGACTTCGAATTGGTAATACACAGTAAATACAATCCTGTTTTGCACGTAGGTTTATGCATTCATGTATACGTAAACATATGTGCATGTATCCAAGGATAATAACAGAATGTAAAACTAAATGTCACCATATAGGTCTGTAGTTTCTGCGTTTGCCTTGCTCATCTTTACCAATATAGATGTACATTTTAGATGTCCTTTATTGATAGGCATTTTTAAAGTAGAATATATTACCCATTTTTTGTGCTAGTACTTTGAGTACCACTGCAAAAACATACATTTCAGACATACTGATGAAATCTGTTTATGGAAATAAAAACTATTGTACTAATTACTAAATTCAAAGGAGAAATTGCTTTAAAACAGTTGTCAGTGGGTTTTGCATGCACATTTTTAGGTTTTGTTTCCTACTAATTTTTTTAGTCTTCTGTGCACTCTGCTGTTGCTATTGTATGGCATTTTGCATGTGGATTGTACAGATGTTATTATAAACATATCATTAAATACAAACCTGCCTAGTATGTTATCTAGCAAGCTGATAAATTGAAATACTTTCTGAATAAAGGAACTTTGAAACATTTTCTATTAACATCCCAACATAACATTTCTTTATTTGACCTATTTCAGTGTATACTGTACTGTGAGAGGTCTTACTAAAAAGACAAAAAAAAAAAAAAAAAAAAAAAATTACAGCTGAAAAATAAAAAAACAACCTTCACCCTCTCACAGATACTCAGTTCTTTTATGTATGTAATCTTTTGTCCCAAGAGGGACTTGCAGTTAAGGTGGAAATATGCCTTTTATTCCACCTTTCAAAACACTGCCCAGAATGTTGTCTGCCACACTTATTTCCTACAGTTAAATGAAAAAAAATTCTGAGATGTACACATTGTCCTTGCAAAGATTAATATGGGCATATTTACACATTGAATGTAGATAGACAGTTGCCTTTTCAATATAAGAATCCAAGCTACAAGCTTACTAGTCAGCTCTCATTACTTTGAACTACCTATATTGTTATAAATAAAGAAGGGGTAGATTTATTTTCAAAGCTGTGTGTGGAAGCATTTTTTAAATAAGTGAAGTATAGTGGAGACATTTTGATGTATTTCGATTTACTCTTAATTGTTGGTGACAGGTGTATTTCTTAATGCAGATATGAATAGCAGTAGCTCCATATTGAATGCACTGACAAATGGATGTGCCATCAATGGACATTTGGATTTCACCGCCGCACAACAGCTCAGTGGGATGGATACCAGGCATGAGGAGTGTTTAACATTAACACCTAATGGAATAATTCCTGGAATAACTTCTCCCAGTAGGCATCGAATTCATACCAGTAACAGCGCCGAGGAACCTGAAAAAGCCATGAATAATTCCACTGATATGTGTGGATCTCTGCATCTGAACGGAAGCCCAAGTAGCTGTGTTTCTAACCGGCCCTCATGGGTGGAAGACCCAGGGGATACTTTGCACTATGGACACTATCATGGTTTTGGGGATACTGCTGAAAGCATCCCCGAACTTAGTAGTGTTGTTGAGCATTCCAACTCTGTCAAGGTTGAACAGAGATATGACAATACTGTCCTAGGCACAATGTATTTGTATCATGGTTCCTAGATGAATGATCTTTATATCAAACGCATATTGAAATTGCTACCAAATGAAACTGGGGGACAAAATCCTCACATAGCATTAAATTTGAAGATTGCGACTTATTGCTATTTTTACACTTTGTTTATATGAAAAGTAAACCTTTAATTTGACAGCCTTATACAATAGTTGTAGTTTGTTGCATGTATGGGGCTTATTTAGTGATAAAATAGGTGCTGTTATGATGGAATGTTTATTATTTTCTTTTTTTTATTATGGAATGTTCTGGTTTTGTATTTTTTTATTTCTAAGCTTGTGAACACTATCTTTCCCTTTTTAGAGCTGTTTTCCCTTTTATTAAAACAATGTTTAAATGAATTTTGTGAAGAAAATGTTAACGTATGTGCATCACTTAGAAGTAAAGATTTTTCTTTTCCATATCTTCTGCTGAAGCTATGGTAGCAATATCAATGCCAGCTATCACTATGCAAGGTTGAAAGTGGCAATCTTCTGGAGCTTCTCTGACTTTCTAGTTTGTACATTTCTTTGGTATAATTAGATGTTCATCTTTAAATTTTTTGAACAAGTTGTTTAAAAATGCAGAGACAAAATTGGAAGAAGTTACTGTTTCACTTTCTGTAGCATAGAAGTGCTTTTCATTGTTGCTGGGCTCTTTGCATTATAGAGTGGGAAAGTGGGCTGCCTTTGTTCAGTTGCAGTTGGGTGTGCCTCAGGTTAGCTCTGAATTTGTGGCGGTTTTCTTTGGCTTCTCTCCTTTATATGTACGCTTGATATTTTACCATAGCTCACAGACCAGAGGCATGTTGGCACTGTTCTGCTTTGTACGCGGTTTAAAATTGCTGTTACTTGTTATAGAATTTGCCAAGTCAAAATATTTGAGTTTGACTGTCTTGAATATACATTTATTGTCCTTTTTTTTAACATATGCTTTGAAAATGTAATGTTGTGTACTCTTTGGGCTATGCTCACAGAAAATACATTGTATTTAAAGCTTAATACACAAATCAAAATTCATATAAGTGCACTATATGAGCACTAATAATATAAGTTGCTGCTTTGTGTTGCGATAAGTGAAGAGTGGGGAGGAATATGGTAACTGGGATAAACCTGAATTGTGTTGATTTTTTGGTTCTTGTTTTGTTTAAAAAGGGACCTTTACAAATTGGATTTTAAAAAAATAAACATATTACATTGTATCTGAATATTTTGTTTAGACATTATTATTTTATTGGCAATTTGTGCAAGTCTTTAATAGTTTTTAAATCACATGTCTCCATAATCTTTCTCAGTACAACTACGAATTTCTTGGGTTTGTCTGTACGTGGAAGCAAATGGGAACAGCGCAATAAGTTGTTCTTGATTGAGTTACAGAAGCACGTACTGAAATATTATGTGTATGAAGGTTGTATCAGCCTTGAACTCCAAAAATGGGTTAAAGTACTGGCTGGCTGATTTTCATGAAAAACTATAGTGTCCTTTGAACATTTTTAAACAAAACGCGGTGAACTACACAGAAGTCAGTGTTTCAAATAGACTTTACACTCTGCATGTTCACTATCTACATATAAGATTGTCACAGTGTATTCAAACTGAGAGTAGCACTGATAGGAAAATTGACCCGTCCTTTTGCAAATAGTTGGCCAGACTGGCAAAAGTCTTCCGTGCCTTCTGGAGACAAACAAGACCACCAATGAAAGCTGAATCTCACCTGAGACAAGCTGTTCCTGGCACGCATGTAACCACTTGCTTGTGCTTGAACAGCTGCAGCCGGGCCCTGTTCTTAGATGATTTCATTTGCTGATGCATAGCCCAGAGGCACATGTGCTGTTGCCGTCATACTAACGTGAGATATTAACTTCAATTTGTTGTAGCATTTCGCTTGAGGATCTTTAGTATCTGCCGAGCTTGCTGCATACACTTTCTTGTGCTTCTTCAAATAAATCAAAGCAACTCAATAGTTATAATAAGCACTGCCATCTTACATATGTGGCTATAAACTGATTCCTAGAGCATTTTCTTCAGGTAATGCCTAAATTTGCATGTGTCTGTTCTGATGGTAAAATTTTAGGTGCATAAATTTAGCATGACAAGCTTTATACCGTGTTCATAATTTTTTTTAAAAAAATTGTGTGCCTCTGGTTTTCATTCACTTACTTTTCACATCTTTTCCCCTAAAATTACCTTGAAAGACACTATTTCAAATACAAAGAGAGAACTTGCTGCTTTATTTTAAAAAGCACTTCCACGTGTGTGTGTTCAGCCACATGTTAACAGAGAGACAGATTTCAAGGTCTGTATCCGTTGTCAGGCCCCATGAAAGCTAATTATTAAATTCTAATTCTATGTAGAAGACCAGTGAAGGCCATATGAGGTAGACAGGCCATGTGGATTTGCTGGGTAGTTTCCTTTACAGCTACTGTTGCAACAGATAGAAGTTAAGGTATCAAATAATTATTTTATAAGAATTCTGAGACTCCTTTCTGCAGAAGCTTTTTGAGGCAACAAATGTACTTACAACAAAAGCCATCTAAAGTCTTGTTTTCAAATTATTCCATTAATTTCTATAGAACATGAAACAGTCAGAGAATCACAGCATGGCTGAGTTGGTGGATACACACCCAAGTGTATGGTGCTGGTATGAACCCATACCACTCTCACAAGAAAAAAAGTTTTCTTATGTTTACTTGGAATTTCCCATTTTTCAGCTTGTAATTTCAGATACATGTGAGCAACAAAACTATAAAAGTAATTAACTTAAGAGATCCAACTGCACCTCTGGTAGGGAAGGTGTTGAGTTAGTAGGTGAAGAACTTACATTGTCAAGTGTGGAATGAGTTCTACCAGGTATAGCCATGTCTTTTCATATGTAACTACAAAGAGGCCTTGTTTTTAAATATCTTGCTGTTAAAATACAAAGGACTTTCTGGTTTTGCTGTGTTAGACCAGCTGACGTAGTTTAAGAAACCTGGTAAGGCTCACAAACCCTCTTCAGGCCTGAGTGACAAATCTGCTAACAGGCAGCAGTGCTGAGCCATTTTAATTATGCTGTGCTCTGCAATTCCTGAAAAGATTGTTGGGTTTTAATTGCCTGGAGTTAAATTCTCACAGGTTCTTTGTTTAGCAAGGGCAGTAGTATTGTAGGACTGTTCGTACTCTGGCCTTTTGTCCAAGTCTGGAATTTTCTAGGCTTTTATCAACTGAATGGTATTTTAGGTGATACTTTGTTTTATCGTTATCTTGGTTCTGGAAATGGTTCTCCCAAACTAATGTTCGATTTCCATCTGCCTAGATTTAACTCAATAGCACCACCATTAATTTCATATGCAATGCACTGACCAGTTACTCTCATCTTCCTCCTGGTTATCTCTTTGGTTGAGACTCAATTTTGTGTGAAATTTCAGTTGATTTCTTGCTGGCTTATGTAGATATCTTAGCCCAAATTCCCCCAAATGTAGGTTCCTTCCTATTTTGTTTTTCAAAACCATCTGCAAAGTTTTGGCAGAAATACAAATAATTACAGATTCAGACAGTATTTTGATACAAAATATTTCTGACCAAGTAATTGAAGTTTGGCAATGTTGTAAGAGGAAAAAAGGGAAATGTTACACAACTTTATACATACTTCTTTCATATTTTTAACAATTGATCCCCCGATTCCAGAAAAAATATTAGTCTTAACTTCTAACAGTTGTGAAAGAAGACTATCATTTGAGGTATTAGATTAAGATGAGATGCTGCTCGGCTCCAAGACCCCTTGCAAATGCTTTCAGACCCAGTGAACTCTTCTGAACATTGGTCTTGCACCTGACTGTGATCAAATCCTGATCCTTGTTCAGACTCACATTCCATAATCTTGCAAAAGACTCTCTGTAAGTCTGTTTTAATAAAACTTCTTTAACAAACTATCATCCTTCTACAGTCTGAAATTGAACTCCAGCTTAATATTTATAGCCAAGTTATAAATCACTAAGGAGCTTTTGCCATGCCAATTACAAATGTAATGCAGCCAAAAGAGCTGCCTCACAAAACATCAAAGTAAGTCCTGAGGACAAAACAAACCTAGGATGAAAAAGGAACCCTTGCTGTCCCATATGCTAGAGCCAACCCATGGTACAAGCTTTCACCAGTAACACACATGTTCTGAAGTATGAGCTTGCACACATCTCCTCTTATTTTGTGTCCAACCAGTTTCTTCCAGTCAGTGAAAGACTACACACTTTGGGGAGGGGGAAAAGCACAACAGAAAAACCCAAACAAAAGCACTCTTTCACCAGCAGAGTACTGCCCACCTTGACAACCCATGCTGGCATGGCCAGTGCAGCATGTCCTGTACGCCCCTTGATTGTCTGGGCGTGTGGGGCATTAGCAGCAGAGAGGAAGGCAGCTGGAACGCTCCTCCCTTGGTGCCACTACATGTGACACACACTGCACCTTTCCACTGGCACCTTCAAATCCTGAGACTTTTTCTTCAGGGTGGTTACTACCCTGGTGAAATTCTTCTCAATTGTGCTTTCTAGGGGTCTTTGTGACAAAAAGAGTCACCTCCTCTGGCATTCCAAGAAGTTAATTTTCTTGTTCTCTGTGTCTGAAGTACAGCTTCATGTAAAGCTAAAGCTAATGAATTTCTTGATGCTCCAGGGAGGAAGCCCTGGATGCCTTGGTTCGGGCACAGGTGAGCCAGGGCTGGAGCAGTGTTGCAGATTTCCTACAGGGATAAAAAGAGGAAGGGCAGGGGAAGCTTCCCACGCTGGGCAGTGCTGAGAGCTGCAGCAATCTTGCTGCAGCAGGAGAGTCATGGGGCAGATGGCAGCCTGGGAGCATCCCACTTTGCTGCTGTCACTGGTCTGGAGGATGCAGATCCACAGGGCAGGAAATCTTTGAGACTCAGACAAACCAAGAAGGGGGG